GTGAGACCACAACGCATTCGCAACGAGTCAAAATTATCCGCTATGTCCACTGCAAACAGCGCTCTGCATGTCTGACTGTTCCACTGTGTTCCACCTGTGTGTGTCAACGCTTTGGTCCAATCACATTCAGCATCCAGTCAGCGTTTCCCCCCCCCAAACAATCTGCGAATCAGAGGCACAGTAGGGCGGGTCTTCACGGACTACGGGTGGGAAAAATGTGTGTGTCTCTTTCAACCTGTCTAAGTCAGAGCGAGAATTAAAACAAAAAAATTCAGAGCGAGAGTTAACAGCTCATCTAGTTCCATCTGTACTGTAGCTAGTAGCCTAGTTTCACCTACCGGGGTGGCAACTGACACCCTAAAAATAGGCCTTGCCACCCCAGCTGCCACCCCAGTTGGCAGCTTTGTTTTGAAAGAAAAGTTGTGGCTCATCGGACATTTATGAGAGAAAGTCTCTAATGTCCGAGTGCAAGTGAATGCAGCACAAGATGCACGTCATGTAACCCCTCCCCCGGTCCTGGCGCGAGCGTGGACATATGATTGGCGGCGATTTCATTTTGAACTGGACGGCGCAAAACGAGAAGCATTCGGACCCAAGCGCTGAAGGAATGAGGTATTTGCGGTCTACACTGACAGAGAAGAGACTGTCAGTGTGGCTGTACTCAGCATTGAATCAAAACGCACTGAAGCTGTTGATCTTAATACGTTTGTGAGGCGTTTTGCTGAACAAAATGGTAATCGCCGCATTCAGCTGTAATAGACATGTCAACTTGATGCTCTGCTCACGGATGAGCATACACAACTATTAAGATGATGACCTTACGTGTGTAAATATATTTTTTTCTTTGAGGGGGTCTGCCCCCAAAAAACAGTTTTAAGTCCTGAGAAAGTCAAATAAGACGGTGTGTAAAACTACACTGCCCAGCCAAAAAAAAGTAACCACTTTGATTTAACTAGGCCAGTAGGTAAGGACTTTCCACTGGATAATAACTGAAGTATAAAAGAATGCATGACTGAAGTGATGGAGACCATGTTGAAGGCAAACAAAAGAGGAAATAACAGGTCAAATCAAGCAAATCCCCCTCTCAGATTCCACAGCAACCAGAAGAACATAAATACTGGCTGGTGATTTGATTCATCAGCTTTGTGATGGAGTAAAAAATGCACAGTGCATTTCCTTAGCTGTGGGTGAGTCCACTGACACCACTGACAATGCTCAGTTGCTGGTGTTTGTGAGTTGTTATGATGAGGCAAAGGGGGAGTTTGTTGAAGATGTGTTGGGCCTGACGAACTTCAGTGGACACACAAGGGGGAATACATTTATAAAGCAATAATGGGAATGCTGAATGAAAGAGGGTGCAGCTGCCTTTATTCATAACTGTGCAGCTCTTACACTGCGACTCTGAGGGGTCAAGCACAGACACAATAACAATGAAAACTGCTGCATATACAGATTATTTTTGTTTTTGCAACCTCGTGTTAAGAATCTTGTTGCAATTGTTTAAAAGTTTGAATGACCGTAATAAACGGACCTTTGTCTTATTGAAACATTTATTTTGGACCTTTAAGATTTGTATTTGAGTACCCCTGGTGTAGAAGAACCGGGTTTTTTTGCTTTGTATGTCGGGGGCGGGATATTCATGTGATATTCATGTGATTGGTTGTTGGTCGCGAAATCCCCAAGCTGTCAGACACGCCCAGCTCCAGGATTTTCAAGATTTGGTCAAAGCTGCTGTGTGGACGGCCCGTTACAAGAAACACCGACTGTTGTTATGCTTGCTGTGATGTTACATTAGTCCGTTCTCTACTTGTAATTATGCCGTCACAAGCTTCAAAGTTGTATTTATCATCTGAATTTGCCGAAACAAGTTTAATATTCTGAAAGCCAAGACTTTGTTTATTTGAAAACAGATGAAAACAAACTGTCTTTTATATAAAATTGAAGTATTATACAAGTAAAACTACATTTTGCTTTAATCCCATGTAATTGTAGAATGAACACAGTCTTCCTTTGAAGAAGTCAGGTGTCTTGAGTAGTCAGCATTACCTACAAATCATTGTACACATTTGTAAATATTATTTTCCACTTGTTACCATTGTGAGTCTATTTCTATGCAGCTCTGCGTGATTTTGTGACTACAATTCAGACTAATATGCTACCAGAGGTGGAATAAGTACTCGATCTTGTACTTAGTAAAAGTAGAAGTACCAGAGTGTAGGAATACTCTGTCACAGTAAAAGTCCTGCATTCAAAATGTTCCTCAAGTGAAAGTAGAAAAGTATTATCATCCAAATCTAGTTAAAGTACCGACAGTAAAAGTAGTCATTGTGCAGATTGGTCCATTTCAGAATAATATATATGATATGTTTTATAATGATTGATCATGTTCTCAAAGCTGGTAAAGGTGCAGCTAGTTTGAATGACTTTGTATACTGCAGGGTAGCTTGTGAATTTACTCCAGGTGGAACTAAAGATTTAACAATTAGATTTCACATCATTCATCCAGGTCTGTAAAGTAACTAAAGGTATTAAATACATGTAGTGGAGTAGAAGTACACCATGTACCTCTGAACTGTAGTGGAGTAGAAGTACACCATGTACCTCTGAACTGTAGTGGAGTAGAAGTACACCATGTACCTCTGAACTGTAGTGGAGTAGAAGTACACCATGTACCTCTGAACTGTAGTGGAGTAGAAGTACACCATGTACCTCTGAACTGTAGTGGAGTAGAAGTACACCATGTACCTCTGACTTGTGTTTACTGCCAACCTAAAAGTACCTCAAAAATAGTAATCAATAATGTATTGAAAAGTTATTTGGCTGATTGTTTTATATTGGCTCAGACAGGTTATATGGGACATACAGATGGGTCACTCATTTTGAAATATTAAACTTAGTTTTCTTTTCTTTAATTTGTCATCCTCGTGTAGAATGCTATTATGAAACACACATTTGTTTGTTTATAGCATAAAGAACATCTGATTTAATGTGAGGTAGGGAAATAATCATTTGAGTATGTGTATATAAATATGTAATTTACAACAGCTGTAAGATGCTTGAAAAGCTGGAAAATGCACCTTGAAAATGCTTGAAAAGTGCTTGAATTTGACTCTGGAAAAGGTGTAAGAACCCTGAATAGGATACTTAATTGAGGAGCACATTTTTGAAAAATTACTCGTGGAGGTCGTAAGCTAACAGCGAATACACCATTTTTGACTATTCACATGGCGCAAATTACTCCAAACTGCTCGCATATAGTTTTTCCGATATTCACGAAACGCTGTATACACATTACTATTATGATTGCACACATATTTCAAATTGCCTTCCATTAGCCCCGCCCCCCAGGAAGTCGGCCATTTTGAAAAATGTGCGTTTTTCAGCCTTTTACGCACGTTCTTGCGAACTCCTCCTAGGGGAATGATCAGAAAAATTCCAATGCATGACAGGTTTAGCCCCTATCCAATATGATACTTAATTGAGGAGCACATTTTTGACAAATTACTCGTGGAGGTCATAAGCTAACAGCGAATACACCATTTTTGACGATTTACATGGCGCAAATTGCTCCAAATTGCTCGCATATAGTTTTTCCGATATTCACGAAACGCTGTATACACATTACTATTATGATTGCACACATATTTCAAATTGCCTTCCATTAGCCCCGCCCCCCAGGAAGTCGGCCATTTAGAAAAATGTGCGTTTTTCATGCTTTTTAAGCACATTCTTGCAAACTCCTCCTCGGGGAATGATCGGAAAAATTCCAATCCAGGACAACTTCAGCGCATATCCAATGTCATGCTACATTGAGAAGGAATAGTCCTTCGCTCAAACGGGGAGCTCGTAGGCTAACGGAGAATGTACCATTTTTGACCAATTATATGTCAGATAAGCTACTGAGACCTGCCTGTCTGCCTGGCACATCAACTCTCACACACACACACACACGCACACACACACACACACACACACACACACACACACACACACACTGTTAGTCCAACAACGCCCTTTGCTGGCGGCATATTCATTACAAAAGACACTCCCTAACCCTACTGTTTATTTGTAGATATCTCCTAAAGCCTACAAATAAAGTGTGAAATGTAGGCCTGTTACATTTGTTATTGAGCGATATATATTATACACACTGTTCTGCTTTCTGCACTGACCTCAGCAGCTGTTCTCACTGTAACATCACCTAACATCCAGGGGACATGTGATTAGTGAGTAAACAAACGATAAATGGCAGAAAGTCTGATGCACATTTGATCATCTCAAATAACTTATAATCACAACGGGAACAGTTTGCAGAGCTGTGCTTCGTTGACAGAAGTCCAGCCATGCGTCACACCTCTTTTAAACATCACTGTTGGCTGAAATCGTCTCAGCAGAATACTTCAGTGTATCCTCGGTTATAGCTCCTCTAGAGACACTCCTCTCTCCTCTAAATCAGTGTATCCTCGGTTACGGCTCCTCCAGACAGCCTCCTCGATAATCGATCCTCGACGACCCTTTAGAGAAATTTGTTTTCCTTCGAGACGGCGCGCCGACATCCGTTTCCGGGTCGCTGCCGGAGGACCTGGGAGTCTGGGACGTGAAAATTATAGAAATGAGAAACGGCTCATTTCCCAGGACTCGCGCGCGTCTGCTTGACGCCGGGACGACCTGCCGCCCTCCCCGACAGGCGCACGGACGTGAGGGCCCGCTCATCACTGCGCGCACAAGTGCGACCGCAGTTTTAATTTAATATTGTAGTTATTGCCTGTACAGCACTTTGGTCAACTGAAGGTTGTTTTAAATGTGCTATATAAATAAATAAAGATTGAGATTATATCTAAATGAGGATTCGATTTTCCCTTGCTTTTCTTGTCCTGGCGTGTAGTTCTGTTTTGAATAAAACTTTCCCTTGACTTTTGGCCTAGAGCACTGCAACAAAATATGTTATGTCACACTTGTGTCCTGAATGTCTACTCATCATCTTACCTAATTTATTTCAGGAAGCTTTCGGGGACCTGGCCCTCTTCTTCTGTGACCCGCATGGTGGAACAGTGATCGCAGTTTTGTGGAAGCCAAAGGCTTTCATGCCAACACCCTTTAAGGTAAGCCTATAGATGTCCTCCATCTATAACAAGCTTTATCTAAGTAAAAACAGCTTGCTTTGTTGCATCATGTGTCCTTAGGCCTCCATCCTCCTCTTATCACACGTCAGCATCAACCTCTCTCCTATGTTTTACTTTTTCCTTCCTCACAGACGTCACAGCTATCAGCTCGGAGCGTGGAGGTGACTGGAGATGAAGCAAAAACCATTCCTAACGTCGAAGCAATACTGGAGGACTTCTGTGTCATGGGAAAGGGTTTGATCAAATCAGTGGAAGCCAGGACTGAAAAATGGTCATTTTAAACGCAGTATTTTCACCAGGTACATTACAGTGCATTACAATATCTTTGTTTTTGTTTGTGCCTGACTTGAAAACTTCAAACAATGAAAACATAAAGACATCTTGGACATTTTGTTAACAATATTATAGGTTAATACATTTGCTGTTAAAGATGAGCCAGGTGATTTGTTTTGTTGATGCAATATCATGTCTAATAAATGCTTATCTACACTTTTTGATTCATATTTGATCCATTTGCCTTCTTTCTTAATCAGTAGATGACATTTGATGAAAGCTTGGCAGATTGGACACTACAGTGACTGACTTTTAGCTCTCACATTTTGTTCTGGAAATTTCCATGCTCCAATAAATGTACCATAAATGACAGCACTTCATATATTTATTAGGTAGACTAAACCAGTTTATGTCTGTGCTTGTCGCTTCTGTTAATTAACATTCATGAAACAGATGTTGTCAGCCTTCCCAACCTCTGTGACGATAAACAGGCTTGTGATGCAACAAAACCGTTTTTGCTGGTTATTCGCAGTGTGTAAATAGACCGAATATACCTACAGAACATAATGGGTACATTCAGTTAAACTGCTTTTATTCCTTGGTTTGACAGTAAGTCATGTACATGGACGTGTGTGTTTTAAATCTGTAATAATCTGGATGCAGGTAGGCTTTTTGTTACTTAAAGACAGCTTGTTGCGTGACAATCCTTCTCTCCCTCTGCAAGGCTAGTATAAGATTTCATGATAACCACCTATTACTGAAAGGCAATAAAATCGGAGATGCAGGTGAGGTAGGTGTTTAACACGGCTATAAAATGTAGTCAAATATTGTCGGAATCGATGTCACTGTAACATTATGTTATGAACAAAGGAGTCCTTAATGTAATCTAGTCAAATGTATGCAAGAGGTTTGGCGAAAAATCAAAACGCAAGATGGTATTTCTAGTTTACTGTATATCTTTAATGCATTTGTTTATTACAATTTAAATTTGGTTTGAATTAGCAATTGTCTTACTGAAAATAATGACCTAACCTTTTTCTTTAAATGAATACATTTAGGAAAGAAATAATTATCTATCCGATGATCAACGGTACAGTATAGATCCACAGTCTGTTTGTCATGTCACTGAAAATTATAGCCGTGAAAAGCACAGCATATAAAATGACTAACATGCCAAGATGACACATTCAGCTGTGTCATAGGATGTGTATGAGTTTTATGTCTGCAGCTGTTGACAGACAAAGCAGGTTGTATCAATTAAAGTCTATCATAATTATAGAGAAAGTAGCAATGTACCAGTGAAGACTTACTTAACCACCTTCTCCAGGAAAAAAGGAGTGTTATAAATCACATTGTGTAATCTTGATCAATAATATGCTAGCTTTTCCCAGTTAACGCGTATCATTAAGTCAACTTGCCACATCAGGTTTTATCTGGATGCAAACCACAACTTGCCAAAATTCACTGGAATTATTCACTGATCATTTGCAAAACATTTCCTGGGAAAATGATTTGAGGATGCAAGATAAGTAACATTACGGGATCCCAAAACTTGGTGAAAGTAACTTTGGGCATTACTCTGGGATTTCATGACCTGACATGACTTCAGATTTCCCTTTCACACAGTCGGGATTCATGCCATGGGGCTTGTTGCTGTATTGTGAAATGAAGTAGAGATTATCATGTGCTACTTTTAGGACTTTTGACCTGCAGTGAAGTGTTTGAGACCTTTTAATTTCAGTGTGTACTTGTTGCTAACCTAATTTTTGCCCGCAAGGCAGTCTATCTTCACCTGTCTGTGCTCAAGCTGTCTTCCAGCCTCTGATGGAAAACAACTGGCAAACTGGCACTCCTGCTGAAGACAAACACATCTGGTAGACATAAGGACATCACTCACAAACAGAAACAACAATGATCAGTGCAATTTCCTAAGGACCTCAGTCTTGTAAAAAAGGAACTTTATCAAACAAGAAAACTGAGTTGCTATTTACGAAAATGCATAGAAATTCATGTTGGTTCAATAGCTTTCCCTTATGTTTGTGGGTACCACCATTCTTTTCCCTTTCCGATGTACTGTCCTGCCTGTGAGCCAAACCATTCCAGGAAAAGTGATTCAAAACCATATGGCCCAAAAATGCAGCTCCTCTGGCCATTTCCTTCTGGAGGCCTGAATAGGTTAACTGAATCAGAAAGAAAAAAAGCAAAGTAGAATAAATAAAAGCACACTCCTCAATCTATCTTTGTAGAAGATGCCAACCCTGCCAGGTAACATTTTTTACAAGATAATTACTAGTACTGTCAAGATCTGTCTGTTTTGTCTTTTTCTGTCTTTGGTTTCCTGTTTTGTTTTGGAAAGTGTTCACTTCCTGTTTTGCCTATTGCCTTCTGTCTGTTTTCCCTCCCTGATTACCCGATTGTGTTCACCTGGTGTCCCTGTGTTTTCTCCTCCCTCCTCACCTGTGTCTTGTTTGCATGATTAGTCTTGTGTGTATTTAAGTTCTGGTTTTTCTGTCTGTCTTTGTCGGTTCGTCTTGTGTTTTGACGTGGTCTTCCGTGAGTGTTCTGTTCTGTCTTTGTGATCAGTAGTAATGGCAAAATGAAGCTTTGAATGAAGCGTTGAACCACTTGGACAATTGTGTCGGAAATAGGTTCATTTCTCGAAGCTTCAGTTACAGCGACCTCTCCTGGCGAAGTGCAAGGCTGCAGTGGGTTTAACGTATCTTTGCCTTGAAAAATATTCGATGCACACACTCACACTAAGACTGAATATCATGTTCTATTTGCAATTAAAGATTGATAATTGTGTGTATTGGGTTATTGAGAAGAGACTAGAGAGTGCTAGACATGTTTTTGGGCGGAGAGGGTCTTTTACAGTCATTAAAGTATTAAAGTTGAAAAGCAATGATTAAAAGTTTAACTATTCCAGGCTTTGAACAAGCTGCGCGGAGGACATCGCTGCATCCTGGCCACCGGCTCTATCCACTGGGCTATCTATTCCTTAGACTATTGAAGTGTTTTTATATTACTCATTTTCTTTTTGTTCACAGCATCTCCACATTTCGAAGTGTTTCACGAGCCATAACAACCTATCTTTCTTCCTGGCTTGCTCTATAATGATCCAATGCAATGCCAACAACAACTCAACAGCAACAACGCAAACTACGACAACAACCCACACATTGCGCATTGTTTAGAGCGGTTATAAAGTGTTGACCCGCTCAAATTTGAAACTGTTTCAACCTGTCACCTGTCAGAATCGAGACGAGGCAGTGCATTGAATCACCTGATTGGACGGCGAACCAGTGAGTTGATTCATTCAGGAAATGAAGCAGTTGCTGGTTCGGACGTCACATTTCACGTGATTTGAAGCAGTTGCTGCTTCGGACGTCACATGTCACGTGATTTGAAGCAAGCTTCGAAGCACTGCTTCTATGGAATAGGAAGTCCAGGGTTGAAGCTCCGTTCGAAGCTTCAGTGTCAAACTGCCATCACTAGTGATTAGTATAGCCTTGAAATAAAGGAGTTATTTTTGACACTTGAATCTGCATTTGGGTCCTGCTTCCTGCACACACCGTAACATTACGAACCGACCTGAGATATGGGCCCAGCAGATCCGTTTGAATTGGAACTATTGGATTTTACCTTTTCTTTGTCTGTCTGCGCTCATCGATGAATAGGAGCGGTCAGGGTTCAGCAGCGAGAGGCTGCTATGGCTGCGGCACACCAGATGGCTATGGAGAAGCCAGGTTTAGTGAAGTTCTTACCTGACTGGATTTTGGACTTCCTCTCGGTGTGTGATTCCCGGCCTGCTAGCCCCAGGCATGCTAGCACCCTGACTCCCAACTCCCAACCTGGCGCCGTACGCCTCGGAGTGTTCCGTCTGGAGTCGGCCTCTGCTTCTTCCCCAGTTCCTGCTCCTGTCCAGGAGCCATTCTCTGGAACTCGTCTGGCTTTTGGAGGTCCACGGAGCCTCCAAAAGGCTCTTAAGCGAAGGCGTCGCTGGTCCAGGCTAGCAGCCCTAGCCCCGGAGGCCATGCTTTGGGCTCCAGTACAGGCCCCAGCAGCCATGGTTCCGGCTGCCGTTCTGGCCCCAGCAGCCATGGTTCCAGACCCGGTTCTGGCCCCAGCAGCCATGGTTCCGTCCCCAGTGCTGGCCCCAGCAGCCATGGTTCCGGCCCCAGCCGCCATGGTTCCAGCCCCAGTTCTGGCCCCAGCAGCCCCAGTTCTGGCCCCAGCAGCCATGGTTCCAGACCCAGTTCTGGCCCCAGCAGCCATGGTCCCAGACCCAGTTCTGGCCCCAGCAGCCATGGTCCCGGCCCCAGCAGCCATGGTTCCGGCCCCAGTTCTGGCCCCAGCAGCTATGGTTCCGGCCCCAGTTCCGGCTCCAGCAGCTGTGGTTCCGGCCCCAGTTCCGGCCTCAGCAGCCATGGTTCCGGCTTCAATTCCGGCTCCAAAACGGGACCTTACAGCAATGTTTCCAGCTCCAGAACTGGATCTTACAGCCATGTTTCCGGCTCCAGAACCGGCCCATGCAGCCATGATTCCGGCTCAAGAACTGGGCCCAGCAGCCATGGTTCCGGCCCCAGTTCCAGCCATGGTTCCGGCTCAAGTACCGGCCCCAGCAGTCATGGTCCCGACTCCGGCTCCTCGTCACCTGTTGACTCATCGGCCGACGCCATATCCCTGTGTCCTGTCGGCGTACCGGCCGACTCCAGCACCTCGTCTCCTGTTGGCTCTCCAGCCAACACCAGCTCCCCGAGTCCTGTCGGCGTACCGGCCGACTCCAGCACCTCGTCTCTTGTTGGCTCTCCAGCCAACGCCAGCTCCCCGTGTTCTGTCGGCGTACCGACCGACACAAGTCCCCTCTCAAGTCCCCTCTCAAGTTCCTACCCGAGTCCCCTCTCAAGTTCCTACCCGAGTCCCCTCTCAAGTTCCTACCCGAGTCCCCTTTCAAGTCTCCTCTCGAGTTCCCTCTCAAGTTCCCTCTCGAGTCTCCTCTCGAGTTCCCTCTCAAGTTTCCTCTCGGGTCCTCTCTCGAGTTCCCTCTCGAGTCCCCTCTCGAGTTCCCTCTCGAGCCCTCTCTCGAGTCCCCTCTCGAGTTCCCTATCGGGTCCCCTCTCAAGTCACCTCTCGAGTCTCCGTTCAAGTTCCCTCTCGAGATTCCTTTCACGTCACCTCTCAAGTCAACTCTCAAGTTTCCTCTCGAGTTGCCTCTCAAGCCCTCTCTTGAGTTCCCACTCAAGTCCCTACTCATGTGCCGTTGGAGGTCCCGCAGACTACTCTTCTGCCGGGGGTCCTGCCAACCACATGTCCTGAGCCGTTGGAGGTCCCGCAGACTGCTCTTCTGCCGGGGGTCCTGCCAACCCCATGTCCTGTGCCGTTGGAGATCCCGCAGACTGCTCTTCTGCCGGGGGTCCTGCCAACCCTATGTCCTGTACCGTTGGAGGTTCCGCTGGGGGTCCTGCCAACCCTATGTCCTGTGCCGTTGGAGGCCCCGCCGACTACTCTCCTGCCGGGGGTCCTGCCAACCCTGTGTCTTGTCCCGTTGGAGGCCCCGCCGACTACTCTCCTGCCGGGGGTCCTGCCAACCCTGTGTCTTGTCCCGTTGGAGGCCCCGCCGACTACTCTCCTGCCGGGGGTCCTGCCAACCCTATGTCCTGTCCCGTTGGGGGTCCCGCCGTCTACTCTTCTACCGGGGGTCCTGCCAACCCTATGTCCAGTGCCGTTGGAGGCACCGCCGACTATTCTTCTGCCGGGGGTCCTGCCAACCCTGTGTCCTGTTCCGTTGGAGGTCCCGCCGACTACTCTTTTATCGGGGGTCCTGCCAACTCTATGTCCCGTGCCTTTGGAGGTTCCGCTGGGGATCCTGCCAGCTCTATGTCCAGTCCCGTTGGAGGCCCCGCCATCACCTGTCCTGCCGGGGGTACTGCCAACCCCTTGTCCAGTTCCGTTAGAGGCCCCGCCATCATCTGTCTCGCCAGGGGTGCTGCCAACTCCTGGTCCTCTTCCGTGGGGGATCCTGCCGAAGCCTGTCCCACCGGCTCCGGTTCCTGTTCGGCCGACACCGGGTCCTGCCCGGCCTCCGGAGCTGTTTGGCCTTCGCCCCACCCGGAACTCTGCCTTGCCCCCGGGCCGTCCGCCCGAGTCCCCCTTTGTGAACTCTGCCTTGCCCCCGGGCCGTCCGCCCGAGTTCCCCTTTTCGAATTCTGCCTTGCCCCCGGGCCGTCCGCCCGAGTCCCCCTTTGTGAACTCTGCCTTGCCCCCGGGCCGTCCGCCCGAGACCCCTTCCTTGAACTCTGCCTTGCCCCTGGGCCGTCCGCCCGAGACCCCTTCCTTGATCTCTGTCTTACCCCCGGGCCATCCGCCCGAGACCCCATCCTTGATCTCTGCCTTGCCCCCGGGCCGTCCGCCCGAGACCCCTTCCGGGTCCTCCGCTGTCAGCCCAAGCCCGTCCTCCAGACCCCCTCCACCCACCCTGTTGGCCTTAGTTTTGTAAGGCCCCTCCCTTCTCAATTGAGACTACATTGAAACAGTTTTTTGTGAAAGGTTGCGCAACATTCATTACGCATGTAGGTTTGACGCTTGTGTGAAGACTGACTCAGAATGCCTCAGGGTCCTTCAATTATTAAATATGTCACGTACTATGGCCTTAAGTGTATGAACTATGGTATGCCCATGCTCTCATTAAAAAACATTCTGCATGCCTGTGAAGTGGAATATTCCCACAGATATTCAAGTTATCTTCACTTACTTCAGTTTTCATAGGTAGCAGGGATATTCTGTTATTGAAAACTAAACTAAATAAAGCTCTCTTTGGCACGTGTATAAATACAGATATGCCCACAGAGGTTTAATGTTAAGGTAATGCAAGTTTATAATGTATTCCACCACCACTACAGAATAGGTATTGGTTCTTGCCCAGCAGTTTTTTGGTTCCAAATGCAAACCAGGTTTAAGGGCCGAGTGCCGGATTCGCTGTGGTGGAAACAGGAAAAACTGGTTCGCTATCTGGCCCTGGAACCGCTATGGTGGAAAAGGGGCAGCCTATCTGTGGGATTTCAAAACTGCAAATGTTCTCACACCTCTTTTGAAAGCAGACAAAGAAGGTATAATATGTAGTGATGAGGTTTCACACAGGGACAAAAGAACAGGACAGAGAAAATTAGGTGAGGGACAGAAAGGGAAAAGATAAAGATTTATGTGAGCGGGTGGGAATGAACCGGGCAAACAAATAAGCATTACTGTATGTGTTTTGTTTCTACTCTTATGAAGACCAACATATATTCATAATGATGTGAAATTAGGGGCATCTGGCATATTTCAAAGGAGGTATTTTAAGACTGGAATTTGGGTTAAAGTTAGACTAATAATTATGTTATTATGAAAAAAAAGATGTAAAAGGAAGATTGTTGGATTAAGTTTGATAAAGGCTCCATTTACTGTTAAGAGGATTTTGCAGTGCGGTACTCCTTATGTTTATCTATATTACTCAATTGCATAATCAGAGACTATTCTTAGGAACTGACCTCAAATCTACAAAAAGTAGATAATAGAAAAGTTGAATTTATGATTTAGCAGATTTAGAGCACTCAGTATCTAATGCTAAATGTTGAGGGTGGCAAATAGATTTGTTAAGTGTGCAAAATAACATTCAAAGTAAACTTAATTGCATGTCATCAAAATCAAATATATATAATATACACATACCACCTTTTTAAAAAAATCTAATTGAGAAAGAAGACTCATCACAAATAATATATGTTTGTAGCTGCTGATAACCAGATTACACTTGGGGAAGCTATGGTTTTGAAAAGTGTGTGTGTGTGTGCGTGCGTGCGTGCGTGCGTGCGTGCGTGCGTGCGTGCGTGCGTGCGTGCGTGTGTGTGTGTGTGAGAGAGAGGGAGAGGGAGAAAGTGTACCAGTGAGAATACATCTGAATCACATGACATGAAGGGAGGTGTGGGGCAGAGGGTGGGGCCCCTAACCAAGCCTGTCTTGCCTATATAAGAGGAGCCCAGTCCTCCCAGCTTCACAGTCACTCAGAACTACATCCATCTCGCTTCTCAAAGTCCTATCAGCCTCCAGAAAGAAAACATGGGCAGACAGAAGGTGTATTTGGACAAACTATCCCGGTTCTTTCAGATCCGAAACCTGCTGCTGCGACAGGCCCTGGCGGAATGTCTTGGAACCCTCATCCTTGTGGTAAGTGATTGTGTGATTGTGTGATTGTGTGTGTGTGTGTGTGTGTGTGTGTGTGTGTGTGTGTGTGTGTGTGTGTGTGTGTGTGTGTGTGTGTGTGTGTGTGTGTGTGTGTGTGTGTGTGTTGTGTGTGTGTGTGTGTGTGTGTGTGTGTGTGTGTGTGTGTGTGTGTGTGTGTGTGTGTGTGTGTGTGGTGTGTGTGTGTGTGTGTGTGTGTGTGTGTGTGTGTGTGTGTGTGTGTGTGTGTGTTTGGCACTTACACCGTATCATCTAAATCTTAAATAGATTGTTATGAAAATTGACATTTTAAAAGAGCTATCAAGCTTTAAATGAAGTGGTTCTACCATCACCATTCTGTACGTGTACATTTATAATAGCTGAACTCTATCCTCTCTGTGTTTTCTTTTTTAATTTACCATTCCATTTTCTTCTGATGTTGCAATATGATCAATAACCCTTCATATGACAGCATTCTTATTGTATCGTGTTTGAATGATTGCAAAAGAAACATGACATTTATAAACCATTGATAGACTTCAAACTGAGTATAACTTGAGTTTACTGAGTTAAGAACAAACAGGTAAGTAACAGGTTGTTCAGGACTTGATGCTTTGTAGACAAAGAAGGTTTTAAGATGACACCTATTAATTGCTTGGAAGCTGTGGTCCCGGATCCAAGACCTCATGACATCCTATTATTATTTAATTTGGTTCTTGTGTGTTGTCAAAGTGCATAATAATGTCAAGGCTAAATAATAAGTCAGTATCAAAGGCAATAAGTTGCAAACTGCACTTTCAAACATCAGTAATTGTTTAAGTTAGCCATATTAATATATAAAAGCTGTTTTCGTTTGAAAGAATCATATGAACATTGTTGCACTGTAGCATAAACAGACACTTGCTTTGTTAATTAAGTAAAAGAGATCCATAGGCAAGGTTATCTACACTGATAACAAAGGCTACTCTTCTATAAAATGGTTTCTACTAACCCTGTGTTGGCAGAAACGTGTCATTTAATTGAATTACTTTAAATACACCAGCTTAGTGGGCAACCTAAAGGCTCTTGTATTGGTTTAAAAGTAAAGTGTGGCTGTGGTGAGTTTAGTGACACATTTTCAGGGATAAACAAAGCCATTTCTAAAGGCATAGAAGCGTGGTACTTTAAGTGAACATTTTATTCTGAAACACAATCCAAGTGAATCTTACAATTTATTTAAAAGATATGTCATATTTCACTCCATTACACCTTAGACCGAATTTCAATTAGCACAATATAATATATAAATGAATACATTGTAAACACAGATAAACACAGATGTGCAAAGGTCAACTTCTTACTTTATAAGAGCTAAGGACGGAACATATTTACTTATTGTTGTTAGTCAGTCATTTAGTATGTTATGTGACAGAAAGGTGTGGCAGAGTAATTTAATGGTGACACATGTGGATGGCAGCACTGGGAGAGTCATGGCAGAACAAAAGGCAGCACATCAAAGGCGTGACTGACATAATTCCCATCAGAGATAATCTCTTTCTCACTTTTAAATAAACAATGTTGAATATCTAGTTAGGATGCCACCTGGGCGCCTCCCTAGGGAGGTGTTCCAGGCACGTCCAGCTGGGAAGAGACCAAGGGGTAGACCTAGGACCAGGTGGAGGGATTATATCTCTTCGCTGGCCTGGGAGCGCCTTGGGATCCCCCAGTCAGAGCTGGTTGATGTCGCCAGGGAAAAGAAAGTTTGGGGCTCTCTGCTGGAACTGCTACCCCCGCGACCCGACCACGGATAAGCGGGAGAAGATGGATGGATGGATGGATGGAATATCCTCTCTCTCCAAAATATTTGTTTTACTAAGGACAAACTCAACAAGTCAAGCTGCTTATTTGGAAATCAGCTACTAGGATAGTTGACGTGTGTGAGGGTGTGTGTACAGTAGGTGTGTTTAACTCACTAATTAACTAACGCATTGATTTGGCATTCTTGACATGTTTCCCTATCTCCTAGCAACATGTTCGGAGCATTAAACAGGATGTTTCTGAACTCAGGTCATGCTGAAGACATCGTGTGCCTACAGGCTGATGTCAGCATAGTGGTTTGTCTAGTCCGGTATAGGTCACTATAAAGGGGCTTTGAAAGTATGTCCTTGAAGGTCACCTATAGGCAGTTATTGTCTTTGGTTATCTTACTGTGACTGTTTTGTTAACCCCCTCAATGCACTTTCACAACGTGCACTTCAAACCAATGTCCGTGCCTTGAGTAGCCGTAGGGGTTTTTTAAGGCTCTTCATCATCACACAGGTACTGTTTTAGAAATTGGTTCCAGGCCAGCAATTTCTTTTTGTTTTGCCTTCAGCTCCTAAACAATTTCCAAATATGTGTTTTAGTAGACTGGCTACTGTGGGGTTTTCTTTTATAAGCTCCCCAGCTGTGCTAAAAGCTGGGAGTAGCTGCATGGATGCGTGCAAGCTAAAGCAGCCAATTGAATGTTGGCTGAGGAGGTGGTGGGGTGCTGTTAACTAACTACAACATTATAGCAGCAACACAGCAAGTTGTTGGAATAATTCAACGGAGGGAACACACATTAGTGAATGTGCACTTCAGAGTTAAGATAATACGGTTGGCTCACAGATTCAGAGACTTACTTTAGACCTTTCTAGAGGAATGTGATCCAAGTAAGTGAATTGGCTCTTACTAGCTAATGGACCATCTTTGTAATCCGATGCCTCTGACATTAAGAAAAAACTCTGAAGTGAAAAGTCACGAGTATTTTTATTTGTATTGTCACATCACACAAGCCTATCATGGCAAAACATCTGGAAGCCTTTCTCCCACACTCCAAAAAAAGTAAGCGAAGCACATTCTAATATTTATGAAATATTTTTCCAGTAATGTCTGGCTGGATAAGGGTTGGAAAAGAGTTTAGACTGAGCCCAGTGATGATGAACTCCCCTCAGGCGCCAGTCCTTCTGAGTGTGGTTCCCCTCAAGCTTACCTCAACATTTGAGTCCTGCGGTCTGACTGAAAAGCATCCTCATCAGGGGGCTTACAGAGCAGAAGCCTAGACATGGACCACACATATTACTCTTGCTAAACACATACGATGAGCACACACACTCACACACACACTCACACACACACAGATAATCAGTGTGCAGAATAAACAGTATGGCACCTGTTTGGCAGAGCTAACATCTAAAGGCAACATGTTCTTAAATCCTTCTTCATTTGACAGAATTAGTCCCGTCGCCCTTAAATATATGTTTTTCTCTTTTCCCTCATCCCTCAAGTAGAAACCGACCTGTGTTTTCCGCTTCCCAGAAAAATCAGCTGGGCAGTAGCAGTAGAAATGACATACTGTACTCTTGTGTGCCATTACAAACACAATGGAGCTGATATAATTCTAAGAAGAGCTTATATAATGGGTCTTTGTTCTAAACGGTTTCACTGATTAACGTCACATTGTCTAATTTCACTCCTTGGCTTGACCTCGATGTCCTGACTAAGCACTAAATGTACAGTATTCATGTTTTTTCTTTATACAAGTCTGAGACTAGGTCATGGTTTGTGTGCAAAATGGGCACTAGCCATTCAAAAGGCCTTTGTATTTCTTTCAAATAACACCTCAATATCACACACAGCTCCCATCACATCATCAGATTACTTGTCCCAACAAATAAAACTACTTAAGCTATTATGTGCACAAGACGTTTTTGGAGCCAAGCATAAACCTGTTTTTGTATTCTCTCTTCAGATGTTCGGCTGTGGTGCCGTGGCCCAGCTGGTGTTGAGCGGTGGTTCCCATGGCATGTTCCTCACAGTCAACTTTGCCTTCGGTTTTGCTGCCATGCTAGGCATTCTGGTCTGTGGCCAGATATCAGGTACATATAATTAAATATTATGATTGAAATTAAAGAACATGACTCAATTGGTATTATTTTTGCTGTATGAGATTAACTCCCTAATCAGAATAATGTAAAAATGTAACCCTTTTCAGCCAGTTCTGGGAGTCTGCATTTTTTTATATAATTAGGTAATGATGTTGCCTTTAGGTTTGGTTTATAAAATGCACTGACCTACTGTCACACTGTACATTTGCAGGGGGGCATTTAAATCCAGCAGTGACCTTTGCCATGTGCCTGCTCGGAAGAGAGCCCTGGAGAAAGTTCCCCATGTACTTCCTCTTTCAGACAATCGGTGCTTACTTCGGCGCAGCTATCATATTCGGCATGTACTACGGTAAGGGATGGCTTTAGAGATGGAGCGACATTTAAAAAATAAATCTTGTTACGACCATTTACAGTATATAAACAGATGTGAAATATACAACATTTGAACAACAGTCCAAATATAAAATGTTTTATGCTTTTCTTTTTTTGTTTGTCTACTTTTAGATGCCCTGTGGGACATTCCTGGAAGTTTTAATGTGACTGGGCCTAGCGCCACCGCTGGCATTTTTGCTACATACCCTGGAAAACATCTCACCCTTGTCAATGGCTTCTTTGATCAGGTACCCATTTAAAATGTGAAAACAGCTCTCATAAACTGAATTCAAACTTGACAAATATAGGTTATACAACTCAGGTGTCCAACTCACAATTTCCTCTTACATGTTCCCCTCCGCTATATAGATAATCGGCACAGCAGCACTGATTGTTTGCATTCTGGCAATTGTGGATCCACACAACAATCCCATCCCCCAGGGGCTGGAGGCCTTCACTGTTGGATTTGTGGTTCTGGTCATTGGATTGTCCATGGGCTTTAACTCTGGCTATGCTGTAAATCCTGCCAGAGATCTTGGACCACGTATTTTCACCGCTATGGCTGGGTGGGGCAGTGAGGTTTTCACGTAAGTTCAAAGATTTTTAATAATTGTGTTTATGTGAACTTGTTACACTCTTAAAGATTAGACGCTCATTATCTATTGAGCTTGTTATTTCACGACAGAGGGACTTTTCTTGTATAATTGACTTTTTATTTGTCTCTCCGTAGGGTTAGAAACGGCTGGTTCCTTGTACCTGTTTTCGCCCCTTTCATTGGCACCATTATTGGTGTGATAATCTATCAGGTGATGGTCGGCTTTCATACGGAGGGAGAATATCGTGACCAGAAAAGGTCAACGGAGGAGAATGTCCGACTCACCAATGTCAACTCCAATGACAAAACAAATAACACTAGCAAAGAACATCTGTGAGTGTGTGAGAGAGATACACAGCAAAATATGCACTTTCTGTAAATACCAACACCCCAGTAATGTACCTTCCGGCCACAAATGTTTTTTACAAAGAATCTTCAAAGCTGTTTAGATATTTCCCAAATAAGCTGTGTTTGGGGAAAAGGGCCATTCTTTTTTCATAATAAATGTATTGTATTATATTGTAGAGAACGATTGTGTGCGAGTGAGAGAAACATAACTTCATAAACACAGAATTACATTAATTCATTTAGGAGATGAACATTTGGATCTTAACGTCTATAGCTCTCCAGTTTTAACAGTATTGTATGCGTTATACCTATTTTTTTTAAATAATATTTGAAAACTTGTAATAAGATATACATTTTTCTGTCCAAAACCTTTCAATGTTAACATTTGAATTCATGGAAGTTGTCAGGAAATTTGGAAATAACATTTTTCAAACTTCAAAATAAAAGCTAGTGAAATGACTCCATGTTCATGTTATTCGTTAAAGTCAACGTTTTTGTTTAAAGCTTACATATGATAGTCGTAAATCCTTCCCACGAAATTCTTCACTGTACCATAGCTATCTAAAAGCAGCCATATTAAAGCGGCTTTCTTTTTATAAACACTCTTTTTTCCCTGTAAAAGCCATAACCAGGAATTGTTAAACAAGCTTAGAATTATTGTGATATGTCAGCTAGAAAACATTAACCTTTGTATGACTTAAATGTAATCACAAGAATCATTTTAGCTTATAATTTCATGCTTGAGAAATATCATATTGTTAAAAAATGACTGTGTTTTTTTAAAGTACTACCACTACATTCTTATGAAGTTTTTACCTATTGACATCTTTCTTCCTTATGACTGTTGATGTTTGGGTGCTAAACTGGACTGTGAGCACCTTGGTAGATTGTATGTAGGTTAAGGGGAAATGCTTTTGTACTTATACAATAAAGTTTTGTTCTTGATTATTGTACGTGGATCATGTTACGTTCTTGTGTTGTGCATTTACAACATAAATGACTGTTAAGAGAATGAACCAGCCGGGTCATAAGTGAGCAAAGCAGGAAACAGAGCGGTCACTCCATTCGCTCAGCTGTTCTCTAATGAAGCTCAGTGCAAGTTCAGGCAGGAAGACCTATCACCCCGTATTGCTCGTCATGGCAATACTCGCTCCCTTCACTAGATGACAGGGAGCGCCACTCCTTAGCTAAACCTATCACTTCCTTCCATTCACAAGCCTAATTATCGCACCTGTTAATCCCTCTATATATGCTCTCCCCCTTCCTATCAGCTGTGTTCCAGGTGTCAACGCACAAGCAGCAGCAGGGCTTCGTTCTAGCTGAGGGCTTCGTTGTAGCTCAGGCATTATTCATCAGCTCCGCAGTCTTGCGGATTAAGCTACAGGCGACGTTCCTCCGGCTTAATGGGAATGGCTACTTCACGCAAACAACTGACGCACGCCTTCAGTCTCTCGAGAAGGCATCACTGGCATCAGGGCCGCCTAATACGGCGCTTCCGGCTCCACGCGGAACGGGTCCTCATCGCATGCGGAGTCTACCCATCCAGGCTTCAACCACAACCCCTCCTGCAGGCAGGCAGGGCGTAAACTATATCCCATTGAAGCACTTCCTCCTGCGCTCACTTTTAACAGGCGTCAGGGTAGCGCTGGCAAAAGGCAGTCGCAACAAATTCACGAGATGTTTCGTTATATTGTTATGAGTATGACATTGGGTCATGCAGAGTGAGATCGCTACCCCTTAAGAGAGGGGTGATTGATTGATTGATTGATTGATTGATTGATTGAAAAGTTTATTAACAGCTTGTATATTGGGTACAGTACAGTACAGCTCAAAACATACAATTGTTAAGGGGATGCAGACCAGAGAAAGACTTTCGTCTTGTTTACATCAGGGTCCCCCATTTCCAATTCATCATATCATTTAAGACATATTTGACATACAGATGGCTTATTTACAATTTACATACAGGTGGTTTTTTACATACAGATTGCTTATTTACAATTTTCATTTTAGATTTCGTTCTAATACATCCTAACCGGACATTTAAGACATACCAAGTCTACAGATATACAGTTAGTAACAGAGTCTAAAATGCGAGTATATACATAGATGGGGGGGGGGGGGGGGGGAAGCTGTCCATTGAACGACAGGTTGAGATTTGTACCATTACCGGGGCCAGTTTTGCAATGCTCTCCCCCGAAGGTGCTCTTTAAGAGAGGTTTTGAAGGTAAGTATAGTTTTACTTTCCTTTACAGTTGTGGGAAGAGCGTTCCACCTTGATGTGGCATAATTGTGAAACGTGTATTCCCCCTTTTTTGTGCCAAATCTGGGTTTCACATGATTTGTGGAGCTCCCTCTGGTGTTATGATCATGGTATTCCTTGACCTTTGGGAAGAATTTTGACATGTACATGGGTACCATAGAGGTGTAGTGGATCTTGTAGACCAGGCCCATTGCAAGTAGCTGTACTCTGTCGTCTACTCTAAGCCATCCTAGGTTGTCAAAGTGGGCAGAGGTGAGGTGGGTTCTAGATGAAAGGTCACGCAGTAGTCTGACCAGTTTATTTTGCGATGTTTGAAGTTTTATTTTTAGCGCCTTGGAGGTGCTATGGTACCATGACGTGCAAGCATAGTCCTAGTACCCTTGAATGAGTGCTCCTGCCAGAGTTTTCAGGGTGTTTTTGTTTATCAGAGAGGAGATCCGGTATAGGAATCTAGTTCTTTGATTGACTTTTGTTATTACATTGGATGCCATTTTGTCACAGGAGAGGTTTGCCTCAAGAATAGATCCTATAGTTATGTAATTTCCTTCTTACTTGTGACAATAATGTCGCCCACTGCAACTGAGAAGTCGTCGGATTTGCTGAGATTATGTTTCGAACCGAAGAGAATGGACTCTGTTTTACCCAGGTGTAATGATGATTTATTATCGGCGAGCCAGGTGCAGATTCTGCCGAGCTCGGAGCTGAGGGTTTTTTCAACCTGCAACCTGGCTGTTCCTGTCAGAGACCAGCAGGGCTGAGTCGTCCGCGAACAGGAACAAGTTGCAGTCACATGCTGATGACATGTCATTTACATAAATTAGGAACAGTAACGGACCTAATATGCTTCCTTGTGGAACACCACAGCTCACTGGGAGGGGGGGGGGGACAGAGTACCGTTTACCTCCACCATCTGTTCTCTCCCCTCCAGGTAGGATTGCATCCAGCTCACCGATAGTTAGGGTGTGGCGCGTGGGTGTGGTAGAGCGAGCGAGCGGGATACGTGCTTTCTAGTAGTAAACGAGGCAGCAGAAGGAAGGTCCGTGATCTTACGAATCTATCTTCTGAAACAGAAGAGCTAAATAAATGCAACAACCTCCCAAGAAGAGCTCGCCTCTCTTCAGTCTTTCCGATAATGGGGTATTGAATCCGAAGCGTCGCTCCTGCTGGGAGACGACAGAGAGTCATCCCCCCGTTTCCTCGACTACGGTCTGGAGCCGACAGGAAGTTTAACACTATCCATTGCTACCTTTAGTTAAGGTGAGTTCCAGGCAGTGTTGGGCGTAACGTGTTACAGTACGGAGTTTCAGTAACGTATTCTTGTGTACGAAGATCGTAACGCATTGCTAATGCAGTTCGGGTATTACTACCCATTACAATGCTCAGTAACTAACGCAGTTTCAAGCTTCATCACAGTGTTAACTGAAATGAACGGTGTTCCGTAGGGCTTCTTTTCTCAATGACCAAGTCGCTGCACATTCCTGTTTATAACACGACCAGATACTAAATAAATATCAATAAATAATCACTCCCAATATTAAATTGAACGATTAATTGACTTCATAATAGTTTTTATTTCTCTCCACTAGAATATTCCGTTTTTCGGTGCACAACGGCTGGATCTGCGACAACAACATATTTTCGGCAGCCTGTCCAAATCTGTTCACAGTCTCTGATCCACTAAATCCTTACACATACAGAGGTGAATTAGGTTCAAAGGTGTAATATCGCGTCTGCGTTTGTTTACGTCGCCGTTTTCTCCCTTACCGCTGTCAAACAACATGGAGGATTGTGTCGGGTAGTCTTCAATCATACGAAGCCAGATTCAATCAGAACTACTTCAACTATACTTTTCTAGAATGCCGTGTTGTATCGGGTATCACGTGGTTCAGCGGCATAAACGCTGCTGCAGTGCATTGTGCACCAAAGCAGAAGCGGATCTAGAAAAAATATTCATGGAGTGGCAAGAGGGTGGCAGGAGATTTTGAGGGGTGGCAGAAGTATATGCTGATTGAATCGCAGTCATATCAATCAATGTTAACAATCAATGTTAGACCCCCACAAAGAGGTTAAGGATGACAGCTTCCTCATATGTTGCACTCGGAGAGAAATAGTTGAGACAGAGACGATGAACTGTTAAGTCCTTAGGCATGGTTTATTTTACTCTGCACTGCAGGTGCATCCTTTCGCTCAGCCGAGCTAACTTAGAATAACAACACCTATTGCCTCACAGTGGTACAATAATAACATGACATCCCTTTGTGAGCTTGAGTACAGAATATATATTTAACAACTGAGGACAAATGTACACATTTCCCTTAACACAAGTTTATCACGTTAACAGTTTTCTATGCTCATCAAGTCATTCGTGAGCAGAGCATCAATTTGGCTATAACAGCTGAATGCGGCGATTTCCATGTTCAGCAAAACGCCTCACAAACTTATTGAGATCCAAAGCTTTACTGCGTTTGGATTCAATGCTGAGTACAGCCAAACTTGACAGTCTCTTTTCTGTGATTGTAGACCTCAAATAACTCTTAATGATCCTAAGAGTTGAAAAACTTCTTTCACAGGATGCACTGCTCACCGGTAAAACTACTGCTATTTTACACAATCTGGACAACTCGTAAAAAACATCCTTGTATGGGTCCAAAAATTGAGCAAACTCCATCAGAGTGGTAGGACTCCCCTTTTCCTTCTTCTTTATTTCTAGTACTCTCCTCGTCTGATGTAATTTGTGTTTAAGATCCTCAATATTAGAATCATAGGCATTAGCCAATAAAAGAATAGCCTCCTCACTCAAAAAAGTAGCACTTGATGGGTTTAGTGCCTGGACACCTTGCATTATGTTGCAATTTGTGTGAGAAAAGCGTCTTTCTATTTCTCAATCATGTTATCCATAACTGGATAGTACACATTGACGCAAAAAGAGTGTTTGCCATCTGGAACTACATGCTGTCCCAAAGTGGAAGGGATGACACTATCTTGAAGGGTCCTTGTTGTCTGTCTTGACCTCTTTGGCTTTCGCTGAGTTGTTTCAATGCTACTTCTTTCACATAAAACAAGTGCTTCACTCCACACTTCATCAAAGGAGGTTTCACTGCGATATTATACCAGTGTCTCTTTAAGTGCTTCAACTAGTTCCACGGCCTTAGCCAAGTCCAATGTTTTGGACTGGAGCATATCTGACAACAATTTAGAGTCACTCAAGACCTTTCGTAACAGTACAAGGCAGGGCTCGACATTATAAATGTGTGCATCTGGACCCGGTGACGACATTACCTATTGACGCAGCAACCACTGTAAGTTATATTCTTGTTTAATTAGACTTCTCTGTTTCATTTATTCGACTCTGTATAAATTGTTATTGTAGCGTAAACGGCTAAATCGCGTTTGAGAGATTTTAAATCTCAGATCTGCTCAGGCGAAACCTGCTTTACAGGTCTCAGCACTCAAACCTGCATTAATATAGGCACGGCCAGTCTATTGATAGCGTGAAGTACAACCGCGTGACTCAGTCATTTTGTACCTTAAAAAGCATTTAAATACCGCATTTAAAATCTGATCAACTCAGTGTGCATCTGGACCCGGTGACGACATTACCTATTGACGCAGCAACCACTGTAAGTTATATTCTTGTTTAATTAGACTTCTCTGTTTCATTTATTCGACTCTGTATAAATTGTTATTG